GGGGGGGGGGGGGGGGGGGGGGGGAAGCAGCCTTGCCCAAAAAGGAGACACTCATAACTGGGACAATGAATTGAAAACCCATTCTTTATCAGAAGTTGAAATAAAAGTATTTGCCTATTTGTTTCCCTGCTCAGGAATGGGGAAACCACAGCTAAGCTGTTAGACAAAGGACAGTGAACAGTAACCACACTAGTAAGAGATCTTTACTCTAAATGTATTTGCCATAGATATTAAGCCAAGTCCGGCACTAACCATGGCTAAGGTACTCATCCAGATGTGCAGGTTGAGGGAGGAAAATAGAAAAATGTAATGGATGGGATCAAAGAGATCAGGGGAAAGTCTTTGGAAGAGCTACAGATAGCAGCATCTGCATGAACTCTCTGCTTTCCTTAGAATCAACCTGTACATGACACTGCAGTGGATGTAGAAAAGGGGTGCCACAACACTGTGACTCTGTTTTTGTCAATCTGACCCCATTTGCCATCCCCCATAGATGCCACTAGCTATAGATAATTTCCAGAGACAGGTCAAGATGCCAGGAGTTTTCCATACATTCACCAATGATTAGGCCTGATTTGATATGTAGCCCAAATATGATTAGAGTCACTGCAGAAGAGTCAGGAAAATGACTGGACCTGTCTAGCTCATCCTAGCATCCTTATTTCAGATACCCACAGGGAGTGTAAAAAAAAAAAAAAGATATGGAGGCAGATGTTATGGTTGGAGTGAATTCATACTGAAATCCCTCCTTCCTCCAATTTTTATGTGCAGAGCCCAAAAGAAGAAATTAACCCCTGATCCATCACCACCACCATCACCACTACCACCATCCCATCTGGAATTGAAAAACATATGGTGACTTGAATAAGATATACATAAGAGGCCAGGTGGGGAGGGGGAGGTTTATGACAAAAGCAGTGCTAGACCATCATGATGCAAGTTCCTTTCATTGTATTCATGCACCAGGATACTGCATATAAACCTTGCATCATGATGGCATAATTGTTTTGATAAAAGCCTCTGATCCTGCAAACAAATTGTGATTAAGGTGTACATTAATTCATGGTCTCATCACATTAGGCTAGTTATGCACAAGCTTAGGTCAGGTCACTGTGCAATAGAGAGAAGATTGGATCCTATAATTTTTATCTCCAAACATGAGAGGAAATTGATATGTGTGGGGCTTTATTTGCTTCATGGGAAATGTATTTTTCTTACTATTCTTTCTTCATTTATGAGAGGCTAGAATTTGGCTCTTTATTTAATGTAAAATAGATTTTCAGACTTAAGATGAATGCACTGGATTCTCTACACAAAGTCAGAAGTCCGGAAGCATTTTACAGCAAATGTTGCCTTCCAACTTTAGCCCTTCCGCTACTTCTTCTATCTTTTATCTTTCACAAAAATTCATTAAAAAGAAAAACAATATAATGCCTTTATAATTTTCATTCCTGATCTTTGGCCTTCAGGTGCTTTGTTGTACTAAGAATATTGGAAATGTAGACCCATTTCTACTCTTTCCTTATTATAGTTATAGAAAAAGAGAAATTGCTGGAAATTTATAATGTCTTATTAGCCCCTAAGTCTGGCATGTTAAATTTGTCTTGGATAGCTGAGTAAGGGTGCTAAAAAACCAATTTTAATATGAATTAAAGCCCCACCACCACCACCACCACAAGCTCTGCTAAGCTGCCTTATCATAGCTGGGGTGGGAATATATATATCCAGCAGGGTCATTCCAAGGCATGGAGATCATCCCAGCTGCCCAGCTAAAGCAAGCAGGCATCTATATTGGGCAGCAGTGATAGAGGATGATGCTGGAGGTGAATGATTACTTTAGTGACAAGAGCAAAGGCATTATTTCATATTGCATGGGAAAAGACAACGGTAAACTACTCCTGCATTTTACCAAAACCCCCACATGGATAGAGAAGATAAAACGATTGACAATATAGTGCTGGATAATGGGCCCCTCAAATTTGATGGCACTCACACGCTACTGAAGAAATGCTGAGGATCTTTTGGAGTAGTAAGCTAGATTAAAGCTTTCCAGATGTCTAATTGCTGATCTTGCCATGAAGGAAAAGAAAATCCAAAACTGCAAAGACAGAATTACAGTGGGAACATGGTACATAAGAAGCTGAACACAGTGCAACATGAAATGAATCAATTATATATTGACATCTTTGGCATCAGCGAATTGAAAAGGATTGGACTTGGAGACTTTCAGTCAGAAGATCATACTGTTTACTACTCAGGACACAAAAAACAAAGAAGGAATGGTGTTGCATTCATAAGCAGGAAGAATACAGCAAAGACGGTACTTGGGTACCATGTAATCAATGGCTGAATAATATCAATTAGACTTTGCAGACAACCTGTTAATATAACGGTTATCCAAGTTTATGTTTCAACCACTGATGCAGATGAAAAGGTTGACATGTTTTATGGTCAAGCTCAATCTGAAATCAACAGAACTTGCAAATAAGATATGCTGCTTGTGGTTGGAGACTGGAATGCCAAAGCTGGAAATAGTAAGGAGGAAAACATAGTGGGAATGCATGGCCTAAAAAAAGAAAGAAAAAATGAAGCATGAGAACAACTTATCATATCTCATCCAATGCAAAATCTGTAAAGATCAGTGTATCTGTTCCTACCACTAATTTTTACATGCTGGAAGGGGGATAGTAGTTAAAACCTCATTGGAAGACAACTTATGATTTTTCCAGTGACAGATAATTACAGTAAGCTGATACTACTCAGGCATGCCAGTTGGTGGCAACATATCATAATTACCTTTTATTGGAAAACCATTGGAAAAAGAGGTCTACAAGTTATAAGCAATCATCTTTCCAGCTCATAACACTTGTGATGGGCCCAAAGTCAACCAGTGAGGTCCATCAAATGGAAATTTGAACAACACTGGTCCAAGTTCAACACCTTAATCACGCCTCTGGAAATACAAATCCTATGAAGGCAGCTTACATATAACATTACCCCATAACATCTCAATTATTAAAATCAATCTATGATATCACAATACAATATCTGTTTATTCAGAATAAATTTATTCAATAAAAAGAAAAGATCATTCCCCGTTCCAATTCACCATTCCTCACTTTGGTTTCCACTAAAAGTGTGAGGAACACACTTCATCATCATCATCATCATCATCATCATCATCATCATCATCATCCATGAATCATACTGCACATCCAACACATCATAGATTATACCTAAATAAATATATTTTAATTCCACTAATTCTGTGAATAAAAGTTACTATGTAGAGTACTGAAAGTATATTGGAATAATAAGGCTACAACAATGAACTTACCTAGAAGTAACTTCTGATCAGAATTGCACAGAATTGGGCTGTACAGATTTTACTGAGATGTCTCCTCTACACTATCTTGCAAAGGTTCTTCACTGACATGCCTGTTGGTAACTATCAGTGGCAGGCTAGTTCTGATTTTTATGTTTTGTTACTGAGGCCAATGTGTAGAATAATCTGAAATGCTAGATGAGGACTGGAGAAACTCTGATTGACTTAGCTCCAAAACTCAAGGTGGGTGGCCTTAAACATAACTTAGTAACCCTTCTCAGTCTCACCTGCCTGCTTCAAATGGTTGTTTGAAAGGGAAAAGGTGCACTTTATTTCCTGGAGGAACAGGTAGGATTCAGTTGTAAGCAGACTGTTTTGAGAAGTTGTGTCTTTGTGTGTTGCTAATAATTGATTGTGCAATGAGTTCAGGCAAAAAGTAGAGTTTTATGTGGAATTGTACAAGTTCTTCCTTCTGCGGGGAGCATTTCCCAAGGAAATTTCATGGAGCTTGGAAAGAGCTGCCCAAAGAAGTATACTGCAACCTTAAAAAAAAAATGCAACACCCCAACTGCCTGTGCCACTGACAGAAGTGCTTCCAGATAAGATTTTTATTGCACAATTGTCCTGCCTCATTCACAGAATTCTAGGGAGCATCCAGATGCTGCTGGCCAACTTCTCTTTTCACTGCCTCTTCCATCATTTCAGATGGAAAATAAGATGACTACAGTTGTAAAACAATGCCTTTGGGTAGATGATTCCAGAAACCTTCCCAACAGGAAGTATTCACAACAATCCCTTTCTTTCTCAAGTCCTGGGATCCAGTGGAAATAGTACTGGGGTGCTCTCAGCAGACTTCTTGAACGTGGCATCCTTCCCCATCCCTACCTCTTCCAGACCAGCCAGCTACAGAACCTCGGAACTGGACTACCATATCTGGGCTGCAAAAATCCAAACCGCCACTACAGAGCAACAAAGAGTTACGGATTCCTGTATCTTTTTGCTGACATTTGGGGTCGTCCGGGTGCCTGCAGCCCAGGTTTGGTACTCGCGGCCAGGTTGGGAGCTCTGTCCGGGTTGGCTGAGGGCCAGCGCATAAGGAGGAGTGAGCCTGGAATACTCGGGACCGTCGCTACCTTGTGCTCAGGAAGGGACTCGCTCTTTTCGCAAAACAGCAGGGCGCAACCACCGTTACTGACCTGTCGTTTCATCTGGAGACATTCACTTCGGGGTCCGACCCACTCTCTTCTCTTCCCCTCCCCACAGTGCCCCAGTCGCGCGGTTCAGAGGGGACACCGGGGAAGAGGGGACTCAAACTTCAGAAATCTGGACGAGCTTCCCCGCGCAAAAGCGGCGGCGACAAGGAGGCGGGCGCGCCTCCGCCGCTCCTCCCTCCCTCCCTCGCCCGCCCGCCAGCCAAAGCGAAAGCCTTGTCTTCTCCGGGGCTTATCAGTCCGCCGCGAGGGAGCTCCGTTTCCCAGCAGTGCCTTTGAACGGTGAGGTCAGAGTTGCCCGGGAGCCAAACCGTAAACAGCCCCGAAGGCGAGGCTCGCTCCGACGGGACCTGTGCAGTCAGCGCGGCTTGCGTCCCTTCTGTCGCGCGCTCTGCTCCCCACGGTGGGATGCAAGGGGAGCTTGCCAGAGCCCGCCGGTGAAACAGGCCACCAACTTGTTTACAGTCAGGCTGCCAGCGGCTGGATCGAGAGAGTGCCCGATTGGTTTGCTAAAACTAGCTCTGCTGGTCCGGCCACCTGCGCAAGCCGACCATTTCCAGTGTCCCTCTCTGCCCTTGAAAGCGAGAAGCTTCCCCGCTAGTTAAACATCAACTGAGATTACAGAGCTGGCACTGATCTGGAAAGAAAGTAAAGGAGGGCAGATGCGTGTTTGTGCGCGAGAGAGAAAGGGCTGCAAGGAGCGTTACAGGTAACAGAGTAGGTCCTTGTGTACACAGGCATATTTGAAATTATATGCATCCTCTCACTTGCTATTGTTGTAATATCAATGCTGTAATATAAATTGCATTTAGATAAAGGCCTCACCATAAGACATTGGGCATTTTAAAGTAACATTTAGCAGTTTACAAAACCTACTGGAATTATTATAAGTTTCCACCATTTCTTTCTGTTGTCTTCTTTTTTACCCTCTCAATACCCTTGCAAGGCAGAATAAGCTGAAATAGTGACTGGTTTGCTGTTCCCTTCTTCAGGGACATTTGTTTTTCAACTTTCCAGGCATGGAATTTCCTGGAGATCTCCTGCCCAACTATTAAACAAATTTGACCAACTTCTGAGATCAGACAAAGCCATCCCAAACAACGTCATTCTCCCTGAATTGGTCCCCTCTTCTTTTACCCTAAAGTATGCTATCTCAATACTGTGAATCTAATCATCACAATTACAAAATGCCCAAATGCCCTCTCGATGCATACAAGTTACAAACAATACTTACTTTATAAATGAAACAGTCTCACCATTAGAAACCTTCTATGCTAAGCAATATGGGTGCCCAAAGTGTTTTCTGCTTTCCAGAGTCCGTGTAATATAATGCCAGCAAAACTGGAGCAAGCCTAGGTGTTTGTCTATGGCTCACCTACCGTTTTGACCTTTGGCAAATATACTTACAAGAGGAATGTAAAGAATGCGGCAGCAAATGCATCGTATCTGTCCCATAATTGTCAGTAACTTGGTTTTTTGGCTGCTCAGAAAAGTAAGCAGGGGAGGGAGAGGAAATAGGAAAATTATTCCTTGATTGTTTAAAGGGGAAAGGGATTTCCTTAGGAAGCCAGGACACAAGAAAGTTCTGTGTTCTGAGGAGACGGCATCTTATTGAACTGGACAAAGATTGCTGGGACACTTTAAAGACTCAATTCATTGGGTGAATCCATATCCCAGCTTGTTTGAAACTTGCACACAGTTTGCTTCATTGACTATTAAAACATTGGTGTGTGTGTGTGTACAGAATTATGCCTGCTGGCAAGGCTGGGTTTGAGTGCAAGCACACAGTGCTACCATTCGTTGCAGGCACGTGCATACAGAATTAGACAATTGTATTTGCCTTCCCGCTCCTCCCAATTTGTCCTTAATAGTAGGATTGATTTTGCTTGTTTTTTTTCCTTTTAAATTGTTCAATAAAATTATTTATACACACACATACATACATACACTTATACACACACACACACACACACACACAGAGGCCTAAATCTTTTCTAATCTCCTGGTGAAAAAGAGTAAAAAAGGTGCAGTAAAGGTTCAGACTACTGGTGCTCTGCAACATGAAGGGCCCATAAATACAATCCTGCATAAGTTAGTAGTTTTTCTCCTCTCCTACTCTTCCTTCTTTCTCCAAAGACTCATTGAAGAAAGAAGGAAAAAGGAAGAGAAAAAGGCGGTAGTGATTCTGCCAGAGAAGAGGTAGGGATCAGCAGAGAGAAAGAGTGTTGGCAGAGAGAAAGATGAGAGGGAAAGAAACAGAGGTAGGAGAAGCATTAGGAAATACCACTTTGACTCTGAAGGATCTTTTGCCTAGGATCCCTCAGCTCATGGCATTGCCAATAGAATTATTATTGTTTCTTCTCTATTAATGGGGCAGAATGCCAATAGAAGTGAATATGTGTAGCTTGGGGTTGAACTGTGGAGTCCTTGGGGTTCTCTGAGCTTGGTAAATAAAATAAAACAAAACAAAACCCCCACCCCCACCAACACTGGCAGGACATGCCACAGTATATAAACAGAGAGGAAACCCCACCCCCTTCTAGCACTGAAGATGTTACCTAGCTGGGTAATGAAACGTTTGCAAGAAAACAGCCAAGCTCAGAGAGCCCCAGGGACTCCACAGTTCAAACCTGAGCTACACATATTCACCTCTATTGGTACCACATATGGGTGTCAAACGCTTCAGAAAACACGCAGATGGGAGAAATTGGCATGCAGGCAAACCTCCACCAAGGAACAGCTATACTTTCTACATGAATGCCTAAGACAGCATACCCTGCCCACCAGCGTCAGATACAAACTTCCAGCACAGCTGGATGGAAAATAGCGCAACAAAGCGGCCATAAAATGTTACGACTAATGATCATGGACGCACACCTCAGACTCAGCAAATACCAGCATATCACAGACAACCTCAAGGAGCAACTGGAACAAACCATGACCCCAAAGCATACAAATATACTGACAACCAGCATCAAGAACACATCCCAAAGACAAGCTGAGAAAAGAAAAACAGAACTGCAAACTAAACTGCTCAAACTAAACCTCAGAAACAAAGAGGTACCTGAACCAGAATGGGTAATCAACATGTCCAGCCGACCACTATCCACTCTGCTCAAACTAAACTGCTCAAACTAAAGCCCAGAAACAAAGAGGTACCTGAACCAGAATGGGTAATCAACATGTCCAGCCGACCACTATCCACTGCAGACCACAACCTCCTCCAGAAAGGCCTCAACTATAACATAGACAATGCTAATCAGCTAGAATTCTGTGCAGCCTTAGAAGCAGCATTTAAAACTACAGGATCCAAGAAAACATAAGGCAGACAATCATACCACAGATCAGAAGAACACAGTATCAGCACCAACTGAAAGCGGAGGACAGAGCAGCCCTCAATAGCCTAAGGAAGGACCAAACCATCATCATCCTCCTAGCAGACAAAGGCCGAACCACAGTTATCATGGATAAATCACAATACTTTCAAAAAGGTATTAGAGGACAAAGAAACCTACATCCCAGTTAACACCAACCCAATACAGAAACTAGACAACCTAATCAAGAGAACACTTAGCAACCTAACCAAGAAAGGCCAGATCACAAAAGAACGGTGGTGGATGAAAAGCAGTGGACCCATCCTCCCATGTTTCTATGGACGACCAAAAATACACAAGCCTGACATACCTCTCCGACTAACAGTATCTTTACCAGGGACTCCAACATCCAACATAGTGAAAGAACTGACAAAAAAGCTTGGACATTGCGAAGAGTGAATATTCTATCAACTCCTCACTACAGTGCCTCCAGAAAATCAAAGATGAAGATGAAATTATGGTCTCATTTGATGTCACAGCC